TGGTTAACATGATACCCCAGCTTTGTTCTTTTTGCTTAGGATTGCCTTGGCTATTTAGGCTCTTTTTGGTTCCATATGAATTTTAAAATAGTTTTTTTTTTTTCTAGTTCTATGAAGAATCTCAATGGCATTTTAGGAATAGCATTGAATGTATAAATTGCTTTGGTTAGTATGGCCATTTAAAAAATATTAATTCTTCCTATGCATGCATGCTACTTATTTTTCAATACTTGATTCAAAGATATCTCTTTAATGAAACATTTCCTAGTTATCTTCACTTCTCCACTTCCTTATTTATGCTCCCTTTTCTATGATAACACATAAAATGACTTATAGTATTTGTGCATTTATACGACACATCTTAACTATTCACGCATTTCCAGCACCTATGTCTTGGCACAGAGTGGGCAGCCTATTGAGTGTTTGAAGGAATGAGTTAATATAATTTAAGGGATGCATCTATTCTTAAATGGAATATAGAAGTGTATTTTAAATTTGTATCAGCTTGTTTTGAATTGGAAAACATTCTTCTGTAGTAACTGTTATATAGCTTTTGGATGCAGCCAGAGCACAGATAAAACTTTGATACTGAGATAGTTTAATTTTAGCCTTTCCCTCCTCAGTCACTGCTCTTTTCCTCCCTTAATATTCATTCCCTTCCTAGGACCCAGAGTCCTCATGCTTATGTATTAGAAATCGATAAAACTTGCCTTGTCACCAAAGAATCCCATGCTTCAAATTAGGATCCCATTCAGTTCCCTTTATCGAAGCTTCTTATAGTCCATTTCAGTTTAGGTGCTGAGATTTAAAAATCTGATTGAATTAAAAAGGTATCACGTAATGCTCCTCTCTCAAGGATTTTCATGTGTTGAAATTGGCAGGACTGTCAATTCAAGTAAATTTTATGTTTTGGATTTTAAGCTGGATAAGAAAAGTGAGTAAAACAATCCAGGTAGCGAAAGAAAGATATTTCAGTACAGAAGAAAGAAGCCTGGATAATTCAGCCAATAGACTCTCTCTGCCAACTATGGCCCAGCAGGAGTTGTAGGGGGCCAGCCACCTTCTCCCTCTTTTTCCAGGGCAAAGCATTAAAATATTAAACACTCAAATGATTGGTATTTAGCAATTTCATAAATATTTGTTGAATGAAAAAATGAGGCAAACATTTCAAACTTTTTTACACAAGAAGAAATTTATGTTTAAAGAGGTCAAGTTTCCAAGGTCACAAAGAGAATAAGTGACACAAGTGAGATGAAAATTCAGTTCCAAGTGTCACTTACTCTTTCAAGCCTATCACAGCTGTCCCAGAGGCACGTATTTCCTCCTCTTCTTGGCTGCAGGAGCCACAGACATCTTGAGAAGCTTTCCTGCGAGAAGTCCTCTGCCCACCTGATAGGCCCTGCCCCACCGCATTACACTAAGGGTAACAGCACCAGAGGTTTCGTTGTCCCAGAAGGAAGCCCCCCGTGCTGGAACAGTATGGGGAGGGGATATGAGAGAAAGTGCTCACTTCTAACTTAACGTAGAATCTATTAGAACAGGCTACTCGTAGTGGAGACAAAGAGATGTGTGTGTACAACCCTGACTCCATTCAGCCAATTTTTCCATGGAAAAAGCATTATAAGCAATGAATATTTTAAAATATAATTGGCTTTTATTTTTAAATTAGTTTTTTTTTTTTTCGAATTAACTGTCTTATAACATCAATCTTATGAGGGAGGAAAACATCCAAATTCACATTACTGATTTCCGAAGAATTTATGGAACACATCTGTTAATAAGATGGGGACTTAACTTTTCCCAGGCTTCCCCTCCACTGCCCTGCAACCATATTTACAATGATCTTCTACTGTTGCATACCCTGTCATGACCTTAATATTCTCAGTGACTAAATGAGCACTCTATTGAAAGTTTTAAATAGGTGTTTTTTAAGTTATATGGCTGGGGAACTCTTGATTTTATCCACAGAGCAGTCTAATTATTTTAAGAGAACTCCATGGAGCCAATTTCATTTTAATGTCATTACAAACCATATAGTTTTAGATGCTTCATCATTCTTTGAAAAAATAGACTCCGATAAGCTGTTGACTTTAGGTAATTGTATTAGTCTGTTCTAATGCTGCGAATAAAGACGTACCTGAGTTTGGGTAATTTATAAAGAAAAAGAGGTTTAGTGGACTCACAGTTCCACATGGCTGGGGAGGCCTCACAATCATGGCAGAAGGCAAAGAAGGAGCAAAGGCACATCTTACATGGCAGCTGGCAAGGGAGCATGTGCAGGGGAACTGCCCTTTGTAAAATTATCATATCTTGTGAGACTTATTCACTATCATGAGACCAACATGGGAAAAACCTACCCCCATGATTCAATTACCTCTCACGACACGGGGGGATTATGGGAGTTACAATTCAAGATGAGATTTGGGTGGGGACACAGCCAGACCATATCAGTAACAGAAGACAGAAATGTGGTTGCCTAGCTTTAAACTTCCTCTGTTTGCAATGAAGTGAACCAATGATAACTATCAAACCAAGTTTGGCTAGGGGGTGAGGATTTTAGTATTGAAAGATGAGTGGAACATAGTTCAAGAAAGGGAAACAAGGAAGACAGAATGACATGGAGATTGTCTCAGAAATCCTTTCTAACAGTCCCACCATCACCACCTCCCCTGTGGAAATGATGACACCTTCCTCTATCCCTCCTCTGTAGCTGGTACATCTGTTATGGTACTTCTAACAGATGCTTAACTCTCAGTCTCCTCCGTAAGACTGTGAGCCCCTTGAGAGTGGGGACAATTCCTGAAAATGGATGGAGAGGAAGAAAATGTCCATAGGCCATTAGATATAAAAATATGAAGATTAGAGAAGAGATTAGAGTAGGAGACATAGATTTTGAGGATATCACCCCAGGAGACCATATGGAGTGGAAAGACCAGCACACTATAGGGAGGCACACAGTGAAGGGGCTTGGCTCAGAGACAAGTAGTATCAAAGGAGATCTAGTGTGGGAGATTATGTAACTGAGGTGAGAATGGAAGAGTTTACTGAATCCGCCAATGCTGAGGCAATCTGTTGGTTTGGCAGAACACTATCAGTGGGGAGGGCTGGTGCCTTATTGCACCGTGGTAGGAAAGATGGGAGATGAAGAAGTGGAGAATACAAGTGTAGATCTGTCTTTCAAGGAACTTGGCCAAGAAAAGGAATTACTAGAAGAAAGCATTTTTTAAATTCTGTGTGCATGTGTGTATGTGTGTTTTAAGAATAAGAGAAGACTGACGAAGTATTTAGCTTGAGAGAAAGGAGTTGATAGAGATCAGTTGAAGATTCAGTAGAGAATGAAATGATAGAGAAAAATCACAGACTAGAAAGGAAGAGGATGGGATCAAAGACCCTGTTGTGAGGAGAGACCTGCAGGTAAGAAAGCTCTTGGTAGGGATGCTAGTTGGAGACAGGGGTGTTGAGGGAGTTGGATGGAGGAGACTACTTCAAAAGACAGTGGGGAAAGCTTTTAATAGTTGCTGAGAAGCATTGATAGCAACTAATAAAAAGACTAAGGGACAGACCTGAGGGTGAGTTGGGGTTGGAGGTCATGGATGTGCACTGGCACCAAAACACCCTGCGTACTCACCATCAAAGGCTACACAATATATCTTCAAGAGTAAATGTCCAGCCAAGCATGGTGGTTGATGCCTATAATCCCAATACTTTGGGAGGCCAAAGTGGGCAGATCACTTGAGCCTAGCAGTTCGAGACTAGCCTGGGCAACATGGTGAAAACCTGTCTCTACAAAAAATACAAAAATTAGCTGGGCGTGGTGATGCACACCTGTGGTCCCAGCTACTTGCAAGGCTGAGGTGAGAGGATTGCTTGACCCCAGGAGATTGAGGCTGCAGTGAGCTATGATTGCACCACAAAACTCCACCCTGGGCAAAAGAGTGAAGCCCTATCTCGAAAGGGGAAAAAAAAAAAAAAAAAAAAAGGAAAGAAAGAAGTAAATCTCCTTTAGCAGTGAATCTCGGCAGTGTCATTTTATGTCAATTGCCTTCTTCCTTCACCCCTTCTTTTCTTCCTTCTCTCTCCTCTGCTCTCCAACATGCATGAATTTTCCCTCTTTGTTACTCTCTCAGATTGGGTCGTTTTGGAAAGAGAAAACCAGCTAAGTGAATCTATTCCATCACTGCCTTCCTGTGAGGAGGCTTACTGGGTTCACAGTAGAGTGAGGCTTCAGGACAGTGTCTCCCAAGGGCTTTCTTTTAGTTTCGGAGGTCTGATCTGACTCCAGAATTCTCCAGCTCTTCAAACTTTGTGTTACTGGGTGTCTACTCAGTCAGAAATGAACTTCAGGAGAAGTTGAGTGTATAAGAAAATACAGACATGCTGACCTTGGTGGTGGTTAAACGATTGTTTATCATAATCGTGAATAGTTGGGGAGACTTTTCATTTTAGAACTCTACTCATTAGTCAATAGGTGCATTATGAAGAACTGGATACATTGCATCACTGTCAAGAATTTCTGACTGCGGTTTGCAAAAGCAGAATAAATTTTCTTGGGGTTGTACCGTTATGTACACACAGACACACACGCACGCTCACACTCACACGCCCATTGGCAGACAGGGCCACACCTCACGGCTCTGGGGAAAGCCACAGACCTCAGCTGTACTAGTAGGAGCGGAGCCTGGACTAGAGGAACTTTCCACAGGACTCAGGGCATACAGCCCCACGGCGACGACCGTGTGCGAGCCCGAGGCGCAAGGGAGCGCCGGCGGCTGCAGGTACGCTGCGCACCAGCATCAGGGCCCGGGCGGTGCGGCGGCGGCAGGAGGGTCCCGGGAGCCGCAGCCGCTGGGGCCACTGTGTGAGCCGCCGGGCCCCGGCAAGTCTCATCCCCTGGCCGCCCCTCGCAGCCTCCTCGCTTCCCGGGAGCCGCCGCCACCCTCAGGGCAGCCCAGCCTGGCGCTCGCGGCAGGACCACCCCGCCGCCCGCCTTGGCCCAGAACATGGCTGCGCGCCCCGCCGCCACCCTCGTCTGGTCGCTGCTGCTCCTGTCCTCAGCCCTGCTCCGCGAAGGCTGCCGGGCGCGCTTCGCCTCCGAGGCGGACTCGGAGGATGACGGAGAGGAGCCGGTGGTTTTCCCGGAGTCGCCCCTGCAGAGCCCCACGGTGCTCGTGGCTGTCCTCGCCCGCAACGCGGCGCATTCGCTGCCGCACTTCCTCGGCTGCCTGGAGCGGCTGGACTACCCCAAGAGCAGGATGGCCGTCTGGTGAGCGCGCAGGGGCCCCGGGAGGCGGGGGCGGCCTGCCCAGCGCGGACAGCGCCCGGATCAGCAGCTGCAGGGCGAGGGAGCCGCCGGGGGGGCACGCGGGAAACCTAGCGCACACACCCCCTCGCTGCCCGCGCCAGTGGCCGGCGGATCGGGCGGTCGGGCTGCGGAGGGACGCGCGGGTCAGTGCGCACAGGGGGTGCTGCTGGGGAGAACTGCCTGCCGGAGCTCTGGTGGGTAGCAGGCGGGTTGGGCGGCTCTGTCCCTCAAGGGTCATGGGGAATACCCCTCAAGGGAGCTTTCATTTCCCTCCCTTTCAACTCTCGAGGTTTCGTCTTTCCCCACCTCATACTGCTAGCCCTGAAGTGAGAGGATAAGGGCCCTGTGACCTTGTTCCCCTGTAGACGCGACAGATGGAACATGACTGCTGTGGGCCCCGGGCTCCGCAGTGGCTGGGGCGCCGGAGTGCGCTGCTCTGACTTCCCGGTGTCAGGCTCCTGCTCCAGGCTGGAAATGTGCTCCTGGCTCCCCTAGGGGGGACCTGGACCCAGGCGTGGAGATTGGGCGGGGCCCGCAGAGTGTGCCCAACCTCGCCACCGCCGTGAGCCCGGTCTCCTCTGAGCACTCCGGGCTGTCCCTGCCAGTGCGTCCTCCTGGGTCGCATTCCCCGCCGCAGATGCAAAGCGCCCTGGCACCCTGGGCTTCCGCGTCCCAGCGAGCGACGAAGACGCCTGGGAAAGATAAACAGCCCAGTTCTGTCCCCGGAGGAAAGAAGCTTGGATCCCGTCATTGTGTTTGCTGCGGGGAGGGCGAGGGGATCAGTGCGGGGTGCTGCCCACCCCACCTGTAGAACTCGGTCGTCTCGCACCTTTTATAAACGCGAGGATGGGAGGGCGAGAAGTTAGTTGGTGGCCAGGTGAGTCGCCGAGGGGCTTGCGGAGGACGAGAGGGTGGACGCTGGCCAGGGGAGATGGGCTGTCAGGTACGAGGACAAGAGGACTCCGGCCCCCTGAGGAAGACGGAGCCCCGGTCACTCTGGAGCAGTTTCTGCCTCATGTTGATAAAGGGAAACTGTTCTCAGGCGAGACACATCCTTAAGGCAGCGGTTGGGCAAAGAGAGGAGGAGGAGGGGTAAAAGCAGCAGCTAGAACTGGCAGCCTCAGAGTACCTGGTGGGAGAGGTGTAAAGGTGCAAAAGCAAACATGTGGCATAGTACAGCACTGTGCTGTACACTACTTTACTATACGCCCTGCCGTACGTGACTGCCTCGCCGAGAAGGGCATTTTACGTGGAAAGAGAGCACTGGGACAGCCAGGTTTTAAACCAGAAGGAAGGAATTTTTTTAACCACTTTAGTGCCAAAAGAAGTGAACAAATATCAGTTAACTTATTTGCTTTTTTCAAGAAATATCTTAAAATATGGTTTTCATCTTTAGGCACGATTTAGTTTTTTAAAGCATTACAGTTTTTGCCATAAGAAGTTGGTGAGGGGTGAAGCAGGTGTCAGGCACATGTTTGCTACCTGACTTATAGACATTACCTCTTTTTGTCATACAGTATACTTTTAAGAGGATATTATGATCTTTATTTTGCAAAGGAAAAGACAGACTTGTATCAGTTCAGTAACTCAGAGTCACAGAATTAATAAATGGTGACACTGGAATTTGAACCCAAGCGTGTCCCCAAAGGCCACTCTATAAAGGCTGGGAACATGATATAAACAAAATTTGCATAAACCTATAAACTGCAAATTAGGAGACTTAAGTTGTTTATCACTAGTTTGATACGTGACTTGGGGCTCCTTGCTTAGGATCCTTAGGCATCAGCTTCTTCATCAATAAAAGGAAGGACTTGAAATAAATGATTTCAGAAATTATTTCTGGCTCTTGAATTCCATAGATTTTGCAATATAATTAGGATCCACCGGCATCAATGTACATCCTAAGTTTCCTGGATATTCCAGATTGTATGGACACTGGTGTTCTATTTAGATGAGAGAATTCCAATTCTGCACAGACCTTGGCAATGTTTTCCTTTATGTCCAGCAGTTGGAAGGTTAAGCAAGAAGTGCAAGACCTCGCTTGCATCAGTTATTGAAGCCTCTTCTTTGAAAAATCCTGGTTCTGTCTTTAAAACACAAAGGAGCTGAAAAGAAACTTTGGAAATAACTTTCATGCACTGTAATCTCATTTGATTCTTACTACCAATCTGTGAAGAAGTAAAATTATCTCTATTTCCCGGAATAAGAAATGTGTTTATTAAAGTAATTGACTTAACTCAAAATTACATTTGTTTATAAATTCCACACATGATAATAAGAGCTCATGGTTCTGCGAAGAACTTTACATTCATTTTCTGGTTTAAGCTTCAAAATCACCCTATCAGATATGTAGTGTTACTGTATCACTTTACAGGTGAGAGAACTGAGGTACAGACAGACTGCACAAGTACATGCTTCTAATGCATTTTTAAAATAAGAACCAGCCAGATCAGGGCTGAAAAAGGTGTATTTAGATATATGTGTGTGTGTGTGTGTGTGTGTGTGTGTGTGTTGTGTGTGTGTGTCTGTGTGTTTAACAGATAAATATGGCTCCTTTCATTGGACGGTGTAAGGTGATCTGAATGGCATTTAAAGTGTTTGGGGAAGAACCAAATGATTTCTAAATCAGATTGGGTCCGGTCTATGAATATGGATATCACTGGTTCAAACTAAGTGACAGGTTGACACTTAGTTTGAACTAAGTTTGAAGGATGAGTAAAAATCTACTAAAACCTGGGAAAGAAAGATGGCTCTAGAAAAAGGGGATCAACAAGGCAAAAAACAAACAGACAAAAAAAGATAATAGGGCATCAACCAGAGTTTTCTCTCAGGAAGTTGAAGTGGGTGGCAGGTCTAATGACTGCAAGTCTCCAAAGAGATTGTATCGTACCATAGGATCTATCTGGAAACGCTGACTTCTGGCCTGGCCCTAGGGGAATATTTGGCTGGGAAGGTTATGGGATATAACACTGTGATGGGAGGTGGTACCTCAGTTTAGGATGTTACAGCTTTGAGGTGCTTCTGCAGATTACTTGCCTTTAGTTTCTCATTCCAAAGCTCTATGCAATATTCCAAGATGCCAAACTGATTAATATCCATTCTGCAAAGTCAGCACATGCTGCTGTCAAAAATGGCTTAGAGCTACCCAGAACTTCATAAAACAGAACCATATTGAATACAGAGCCACATGGAATTTAGCTTCCTCTGAATCTGATCTCAGTAACTCACTCTGCAGACTCACTCTTCTCATTCATCCGACTATGGGCTTGAGAAGCATCTGATTTCTGTACTAGATGGGTCATTGAGAGGCCTGGCTCACTGATCGCATTCAGACCCTGTTACGTGATTTTTTTTTCTTACTTTAAGTTCTGGACCTGATCTGTACTGCATATACAGGTGAAATGAATATCAACAAGTTGACCTGGAAAATTCTGCTGTTGAAGAATGTCTGCAGTTATCTCAGCATCAAGTTTATTCAGATTAGGCTGAACAAAGGAAGCATTTTTATTTTAGAGATACTTTGTACAAGCAAAAAGGAAAGCTTTTTTATAGTTACCTGTCTGATCTTAAAATCCACCAAACTAATAGTTTTCCTTCAAATATCACAATCCTGTGATAAGGAACTAAGGAAGGTATCTATTTTGTGTGTCCTAAACCTGCACTAAGTTTTAGGGAACTGGGAATATGTTGAGATGAAGGAAACCGTGAGGCATTGTGACAAGTGGTAGTATACTTCAGTAGATTCTCTTTAATTCAGTGGAGCCATAAGCAAGTGACCTCAGCAACAGAGGGAAGGCTGACCTCATTCCTCTTAAATCTGTGATTAGGGAGAGTGGGGTCAAGTACCATGATAGTGAAAACTGAAGCATGGCACAGGGAAAAACATTTGCCCCAAATGAAACATTAAGTTTGTCTTTTGGAGAGCCTGCTGTTGCTTGTGGGAAGACAGTTGGGATTCACAGAGTCTGTGCAGGCACAAGGCAATAACTGCTATGTAATTACAGAAAGATTTGGGCATTTTGTTTGCCTGAGTTTTGAAAAACAACATATTAAATTGGAAACCACTTTATGGATTTTTAAATAAAGAGATGAGCTTCTGTTGACAAACATAAACAATGATGAGCTACTTGTTCTGGGGGAATGAGTCTAACATTTTGCATACTACTTTATTTCTGCATTGTTCGGGGATTATCTTGAATGTATCTTCACATTTTAATGTCCAATCAGTAGCATTTTCATAACTGTTTAAAATACTAATATACTTTGTCTTTATGAAATGTTCAAAACTAGTATCAGTGACAGTTTTCAGCACCAGTGGTAAGAATGATGCCATATTTTATCATTACAATCTTGATAGTAAATGTTGCATGTTATCTCAATGGATAGAAGTTTTGGTTTATGGTTGAAAAAGTAGATGATGTTTTAGTCCCCTTTCCTCTGTTAGTCTGTTTTACTCACCTTTCTCTTCCTTTCCTCATTTTCCCAAGCTGGTAGTTTAGCATGGAGGAAGAAATATACAAGCTTAAGGTCAGATAGACTAGAGCACAAATCTTCTGTGTGATTGAGGGCACATCAGTAAACTCTAAGACATAGCTGCCCTGTTTCTTCTAATAACTAATAATAACATCTGCCTCAAAGAGTTATTGTTACAAGTAAATGAGATAAGGTATGTACAGTGTCTTTTACATGACTGCTTATAAGTCAGTGATAGTTGCCAATTTCTTTCAATCTTTTCCTTTTTGTCCTATCTTCTTTACATTTCCGTTTCAAAATGAAGTTTTTAAAATTTTTCTAATGCAATCTCATTTGATTTCTTCTTTCCAACAGCACCAAAAAATATTAGCATAGGAAACTATCATTTGTCTGGGTTCAGAGGCTCGTGCCTATAATCCCAGCACTTTGGGAGGCCAAGGTGGCCAGATTGCTTAAGCAACGTCGTGAAACCCCATCTCTACAAAAAA